ATAATACAATAAAAACCAAAGAAGCTAGAATTTATTTCCTATTACTTTTCCATTAATTTTTCGATCGTTCCTATGGCAGCTATATGATATAGTAGTCCGATTTTTTAAATAATTAATTCGAAATTCAGAAATATTTAAAAAATAACATCCCCAAAAGTAGAAGGTAATATTTCAAAAAACACCGAAGCTAGAATTTTTTAACGTTTTCTTTTCCGATCCTTCCTATGGGAGCTGTAAGATATAGTTGTCCGATCCGGTTGGTTCCGACATATATACTACCTGCAATAGAAAGAAGACTTTTGGTAAAGTTTCATCCCGATAACTCAAAAACTGAGAGACTAGTTTGCGTAGAAACAGACAGACGGACAGACGGACAGACGGACATGGCTAGATCGACTCGTCTAGTGATGCTGATCAAGAATATATATACTTTATGGGGTCGGAAACGTCTCCTTCACTGCGTTGCAAACTTCTGACTGAAATCATAATACCCTCTGCAAGGGTATAACAAGAGAGAACACTATAGTCGGGTTGGTGTCCCGACTATCTTATACCCGTCACTCAGCTATAAATATACACAACAAAATTGCATTTATACTTCTCGGAAATCTTTAAAGATGTGGGCGCAGGACCCATTTTAAAATCGTTAGTGTGCGATTGTGGGCGTTAGAGGGGGAGTGGCGCTCGGCTGAAAAAAACTCGCGCTGCGTAGGAAGCCAAAGAATATGTGTGGGAAATCTCAACCTTCTAGATTTTGCAGTTTCTAAGATCTCAGCGTTCATACATGGCTAGATCGACTCCGCTAGTGACCCTGATTAAGAATATATATACTTTATTCTCGAGCATATTGAAACAATTCTAAAGGACTGGATAAGTGCTTTCTCTTTGATAGCAAAATTCTTTGTAAATAATATAAATATTATTAAATAAAGTTAATGAAAAGTAAGGCCTTCGACGTTTTTTGTAGCTTCAGATAAAACAATAAGCTTCACAAACAAATTACGAACAATTGTTTTCTAGTAATAAAAATTGAAATTACGGACCCCACAGACTTTAAAATTTCTTTAAAAATATTAATGCGCTAATTTTTTTTGACTAAAAATGTTATTTAATTTGTTCCAAATATCCTTGCTTTAGGCATAAAAGCTGGTTTATATGTGTCGCAAATTGGACGAGTGAAAAGAAAAAATTAAGTTTTTTGATTACGGACGCGACATTAAAAATGTTTAAAAACAAACCTCAATAAAAACACCCAATCCATTAATATTAAAAAAGTCGTAATTTTTCCAGATGGCACTTACCTTAAACTAATTTGTAGGATTGGTTGCTTGATCCTGAGACTTCCACAGAAGGCATAGCAATATTACGAAAACACATCAAAATGTTGCTGAGATATACAATATGTGTTGCTCGTGCTTGAAAGCTGCATATCTTTGTGTAAAAAATTTATTTGAAAGGAAATGTAATTGATTCACAAATTATAGATCCCCATGCTATTATTAAACCAAAATTTTCCGCCAGCTTTTAGCTTTTGGGGTTTGGTCCGACTTGAAAAATGTCCTTTGCATTTTGATTGGTATAAATATGCACAACAAAATTGCATTTATACCTCTCGGAAATCTTTAAAAGTGTGGCGCCAGACAAAGTTTAAAATCGTTAACAGACAGACAGACAGACAGACAGACAGACAGACAGACAGACAGACAGACAGACAGACAGACAGACAGACAGACAGACAGACAGACAGACAGACAGACAGACAGACAGACAGACAGACAGACAGACAGACAGACAGACAGACAGACAGACAGACAGACAGACAGACAGACAGACAGACAGACAGACAGACAGACAGACAGACAGACAGACAGACAGACAGACAGACAGACAGACAGACAGACAGACAGACAGACAGACAGACAGACAGACAGACAGACAGACAGACAGACAGACAGACAGACAGACAGACAGACAGACAGACAGACAGACAGACAGACAGACAGACAGACAGACAGACAGACAGACAGACAGACAGACAGACAGACAGACAGACAGACAGACAGACAGACAGACAGACAGACAGACAGACAGACAGACAGACAGACAGACAGACAGACAGACAGACAGACAGACAGACAGACAGACAGACAGACAGACAGACAGACAGACAGACAGACAGACAGACAGACAGACAGACAGACAGACAGACAGACAGACAGACAGACAGACAGACAGACAGACAGACAGACAGACAGACAGACAGACAGACAGACAGACAGACAGACAGACAGACAGACAGACAGACAGACAGACAGACAGACAGACAGACAGACAGACAGACAGACAGACAGACAGACAGACAGACAGACAGACAGACAGACAGACAGACAGACAGACAGACAGACAGACAGACAGACAGACAGACAGACAGACAGACAGACAGACAGACAGACAGACAGACAGACAGACAGACAGACAGACAGACAGACAGACAGACAGACAGACAGACAGACAGACAGACAGACAGACAGACAGACAGACAGACAGACAGACAGACAGACAGACAGACAGACAGACAGACAGACAGACAGACAGACAGACAGACAGACAGACAGACAGACAGACAGACAGACAGACAGACAGACAGACAGACAGACAGACAGACAGACAGACAGACAGACAGACAGATATACAAATGTATATAAAATGTATATAAAATGTTTTTGATTTTTAAAAAATAGCCAAGTTTCCGAAAGTCATTTGAGAAGAAGAATTCAATCAACCGGTTCCCCAAAAATTTCCTCCTCTTTATCGGTATAATTTTTACGCGAAACTTTCTTTCTTAAAGCCTAGTACTCACTTCAATCAAAAAGGCGACGAAATAAAAATTTCTATACAAAAATGACAGGCGAAAAATTTCGTGAACAAAATTTTGTAGGGAGATTTTCATTTCGTAGGCTTTTTGATTGAAGTGAGTACTAGGCCTTAGTTTGAAATTTTGTTTATACCATCAGCTGTTAGTATGACTGTTTTATGGTATTTTTCAATAGTTTTTCGACGAATTTTTGACAATTAGTTAACTTTTCTGCTGTCTCAAATTAGTGCGCCTTTTATTTGGAGTTTTAAATGACGGACGAGAAAACGAAAACCGATTTGCCGCCTGGATAAATTTATCCTTCCATTAGCTAAATTTTACTTTGGATGACGGACAATAAAACGGCCCTAAATACATAATTATAAAAAGTTTTTTTTTTTAATTTCTTAAAAACGGCTCTAACGATTTTCTTGAAAACTTTAAGCTGTATAGCACTAAAAGGGGGATTCCCTAAACTGTTGAATTGTTCAATTTTGGTCAGCTGTTTATCAGCTGTTCCATACAAAGTCAACTTTCAGAAATTTCAGCAATTTAACAGCCTCGGGGCTGTTGAAATTTTGTTGAATTGCTGAAAAGCCAGAGTTGTCACCTTTTTTTAAAAGTCGTGGCAACTCTGTAACATTTTAGTATCACCAGTACGCATTATTTCTTTTAAAACCAACTTAAAAAGCATATTTGTGGTTCTTTTTACCTTGGTAACAATTTTAGGCAGTAACTAGTAATAATACATCAAATTTCACATGTTTCAAGTTCCTTAAAACTTTTCAACAAAAAACAGCTGTTTAAAAATTCAACAGGAACCACTTTGGGTCGTTCCCTTAGTTGCTAAAATTTTTTGTTGAATTTTCAACAATTCAGCAATTCAACAGTTTAGGGAATCCCCCTTAAGATTCCTCAAGTTTTGGCGTATGGCGCGATATTGCACGAATTGAATTTTGTGTGTGGGTATCAAAACTGTATTTTAGGGTAATGGAATCAGTTAATTTTCTTTTCTTTTTCTTTCTTCTTCTTCTTAATATCTTTTGTTTTACGACTTTTGGAAAAACCCGCTAATTTTGCGGGAAAAAAGCTAAGAATAGCTAAATTTTGTTAGTTTGTAAGTTCTACACTACTAAAGCTACAGACATGTGCTATACCTCGTTTAAAAGGTATTTTGAAATACTTCAACGCCTTTTTAACTTAATTTAAATGCAATAGATTTAAAATTATGATTGACCAATTTAAATGTAAATGTATATATGCATATATGAGAGCAAATGTAAACAAACAAAAACTTCTGATATCAAATAAAACAAGAGAGAACGCTATAGTCGGGTTGGTGTCCCGACTATCTAATACCCACTCAGCTATAAATATACACAACAAAATTGCATTTATACTTCTCGGAAATCTTTAAAGATGTTGGCGCAGGACCCATTTTAAAATCGTTAGTGTGCGATTGTGGGCGTTAGAGGGGGAGTGGCGCTCGGCTGAAAAAAACTCGCGCTGCGTAGGAAGCCAAAGAATATGTGTGGGAAATCTCAACCTTCTAGCTTTTGCAGTTTCTGAGATCTCAGCGTTCATACAGACGGACATGGCTAGATCGACTTCGCTAGTGACCCTGATCAAAAATATATATACTTTATGGGGCCGGAAACGCTTCCTTCTAGCTGTTACATACTTTTAAACGAATACAATATACCCTTTTACTCTACGAGCAACGGGTATAAACACCTCTTAACGAGGTAAAAACTAGTGACGATCGCACATTCGAAAGTTCTGATATTAACATTTGTGACGAAAAATTATCACAGTCGTCATTAAATGAGTAGGCCACAGTTAAGATCACAATAAGAATTTCATGTTAGTTTCCTAAGCAGGGACTTTGAAAATAAATACTTAGTTTTAATACAGAACACAACTGAAAAGGTTGTTTTATTTAATTCATCCCTTTCATACAGGTTTTGGCGGCCTTAAAAGAATCGAGTACTTCACTGTACTTTAAATGGCGAACTGATTAAAAGTTGATATACAGCTTGACCTGCTTCGACTGTGCTGTGTGATAGACCGGCCAGATTCAATTCCCACATTTAGTTACTGGGTCTCGGGTTGTCCATCCCATCAAAGGCGACACCATCTCTTATGATCAAGGGAAAGTTTTAAAAAAAGTAATCTCTAATAGCAGAATTACACCTAGACAGAAAAAAAGGAACATGATAAGTTTAGCAAAACAAATTATAAGCATAAATTAAAAAGATCAGCACCTGCAGTAAGTGTGCCTACACCTAATGCGATAAAAGCACCTTGTAGCATACGCACGTTAAGCGGACTGATAAAGTCGCTGTCGCGGCTTTGAGCCCGGCTTTGGACTTCACTGATTTTTCTATTGACGCTGCTTTTGTCCGTTTTTGTGATCACCACGTCCTTGTAATGTTGGGCGTCGTTCCTGAAAATCTTGCGGGACTGTTCCGCGTACTCGGCAGTGGTCATCTTCTCCAGAATACCTCCTTCAAACAAGTGCATCAGGCTAAACAAGTTTTGCAAGGGATAAAACGTAAAATTTTTAAATCTTCATATTATAGTGTGGTGTCTTTATTATATATTTGTAGTTTTATTTATACAAGTAGTATATAGTTTTATTTCGGTTATTCACTTCCGATCACCAGCCACGCCTTTTCTAGAATGTTCTTCTTCTTTTTTCCTTCGTGCCTTCCAGGGATGGACGATACTCTCGATACTTTTCCAAACCAGGGATACCACAACAAAACGTATCCAGAGCTACACAAATAACATAACATAATTTACTTAAAACTACGTTGGCCATATTAATACTAATAGTATTTGCTTACATAGTTCTTATTACTACAATTCGGCCGTCCTGACTATGAGGATCTTCCGATACTCGTTGACTTACTTCTAGTAACAATGCTACTTTGGCCATATTTATTTATTTTACAAGTTTCGTTTACGCCTTTGTTTTTACTATTAGTTTCAGTAATGCTAGTTTTGTTTTTATTTACAAATAAATTATTATTTCTTATTAACATTAATTTGTTCTATTCCACTAAGCCAGGGTTTCATATTATGCACCGCCCATATACCCGAAAATGGCACTTGGGATTGCTGAAAGTTTTCTACATCTCCAATAAAGTACCTATCATTATCTAACACCTTGGACACGACGTACGGCCCTTTGAGTTTGGGAATTAAGTTACTGGACACACCTTGCTGCGAATTGAATTTTCGTACAACAACATAATCTCCTTCAGAAAATAGATGCGGCTTTTGTCGTTTTGAATCAACATAGTCTTTGTTATATCCTTGCGCTTTTCTCTGACATATATCACCTTGTAGTCTTATTTCGTTTAGGTCTTTGTGCATAACTTCTTGACTCTCATCAATACAGTTTTCTTTTGAACTATCAATATAACAACCCTTCTGCCTTACACCAAATAGCATTACACTTGGGTATTGATTCAAACTTCGATTCTTTGTGTTATTCATTGTGAACTCTACTTTGTCTAAAACTTTGTGCCATGGTTGATTATTCTCTACGTCTGTTAACTTTGCTATCATTGGACCTAAGTCTCTATTAACTTTTTCTACCTGTCCGTTTGCTTGTGGCGATGCTGTTGCTACTTTGACATGCCTAACATTGTTTTGTACAACAAACTCTTCAAATTCATTTGACGTAAAACAACTGCCTCGATCAGATATTATGTTCCTAGGTCTACTGTACGATCTGAAATAGTTTTCTAACGCTTCGATTGCTTCTTTAGTACTAGTTGTTTTGGTTGGATATAATCTGGTGAACTTTGTACATGCGTCAATTATTTCTAGTATATGCTTTTTAGTTGTTTCCTTGCTATTTATCGGACCATAGTGATCAATATGAATGACCTCAAACGGACTTGTTCCTTTCGGAATGGGGTGTAAAAACCCCTCAGTTTTACCTGTTTTATTAGAAAATGCTATACAGCAGTTCTTTATGTGACTCTCAACTTTCTTTCTTATACTTGGAAACCAATAACTCTTACTTATGAGGTCCGTTACTTACCGTCAATTCCCACATGCCCCATCTCATCATGGTATTTGTACAGAACATTTTCTTCCATTGATTGTGGAACACAAAACAGTAGCCTATCGTTACACTTGACTAAACAAAATTTCTTTAACTCTATTTATATTTTCATCTCTTCCCTGACATATAATTAGATTTTCTTCGAAAGTATTTGTTTCAATTACAAGAATGCTATTACTTTGACTAAGTGCGTCCACGTGCTGCATTCTTTTTCCCGATCTGTGCTCAAGCTCCTAGTCATAGTTTTGAAGCTCTAGAGCCCACCTTGCTATACGGGGATTTATTTCTTTTTTATTTAAGGTTAGCGTCGCTTGTGAACGGTTGTGTTTATCTGTGCTCTGAGTTTTTGATTAATTTTTGTGATTTTTTCGCAAGTGTTTTGTGTTTAGCTTACTAACAAAGTTTGCCTAACAATCGCGTTAGTGTTTTAAATAGATCTCCCTGTTTAACGGGTATGTGGTTTTAGTTATTTTAACAATTTCCATTAGATTTGTTTAATATCTTGGCTTTATTGGTGTTATTTTGCACTCTCTAAATTTGCTCTTGTATTCTCTCTCTTTTTCTCTCTCTCTATTCCGCTCTATTATAACTGTAATTTCGCTCTCTCGGAACCTGCCAAATTTCTTGTAGACTCTTGGGTGCTTTTCTCATAGTCTCTCTCTCACTTGCTTTACATTGTAACTGTTCGTGCGTTTAGTTGTTGGTGCCCCACAAGCCACGCTCAGTCGATTGAACACTTTTCTCTCGCGCTCTCTTGCTCTCGACTTAATTCGCGATCTCGCGCTCTTATACTTTCGTGTTTTGTTGTTTTTGCGGTTTTGGAATTTTGATCCCAGTGCCAAATTTACTCGAGGTATTTTCACATTTTCATATTTTTATTTTTTTTTACTCTTTTTAATTTACCTTGTTTCTTATAATGGCTCTCGCCTGTTCTAAGAAAAATTGTACTCTTTCGACGACACCTAAAGACCCTTTTATTTTCTGTTGGCTCTGCGAAGGGATGATGCACGTTAAATGTGCAGGCTTTACCGGCAGAGTAAAAGACTACATTGAACAGCGTACTGGTCTCATGTGGACATGTGAGTCCTGCAGGGGATTGACATCTGAGATGGGCAGCTTTATGGGGCAGACTCGAGACGGCCTATTGAACCTTTCACGAGTTTTTAAACAGCTTAATGACGGGTTCAATTCCGTTTGTGAACAATTTAATAATAAAAAATTATTAACCGAGTCGCCCAAACGCAAAAAAGCTAGCTCAACGATAGTAAATGCGAGTGTTAAATCCACCTTAAATCCAAACTTGGTAGCTGCTGCAGTTTCTGGTGACACAGGGGTAAGTGAACCACCTGTGCCAATAGATACTGCTAGTTCCGGTGTAGTCCCTGTCCCTTTAGTCCCTGTATCTGAAAGTCATGCTTCAGAGCCGGCGGAATCAACTAATTCGGTTCAGGTTGCTGCTGGGGGGCGTAAAAATCTCTCAGCTGTACCCAGAGATACAGTAGGTGCCGCTTCTGGCTCTCAGCTGAGTGGGGTTCAGACTGCTGCTGGGGGGCGTAAGAAACTTTCAGTTGTTCCACATAGGAAGCAATTGTTTGTTTCTAGATTTACCCCGGATACTAAATCTGAGGATGTTTTGGAATTCATACGTGAAAAATTCCCATCCGAGGACATTGAAGTTGAACAATTTCGATTTTCGTACGCCCGTAGGATATCTTCTTTTAAAATATTTGCTCCGCCTGATGTGTTTAATGTACTACTTTCTGAAAGCTTTTGGCTTAATGATGATTTGGTAATAAAAGAATTTGTTCCCAATAAACCGAGAACAAATAACAGGCCTCCCACTGTGCCTAATAATCGGCTTTCCACTGTGCCTAATAATAGGCCTTCCACTGTGCCAAAAAACTAACAGGTTTATTTTTGGCTTATCAAAATGTTAGAGGACTAAATATGAAGCTACCAAAGCTTTATGCTGACTCCTCTGCATTTACTGAAGATATTTTGGCTTTTACGGAGACTTGGCTGAAACCAGAGATATCTGACTCTGAAGTTTTGTCAATGAACTTTAACACCTACAGGACCGATCGCTCCCCGCGTAGGGGGGGTGGTGTTCTGATTGCCGTTACCTCTAGTTTAACATCGGAGAGGCTTAACATTCATATCCCTAACGATATTGAATTTGTTAGTGTCAAAGTTTCCATTCAATCCTTATCTATTTTTGTAACCTGCTCTTATATTCCTCCTGGCTCTGATTTAAATCTGAACTGCCTTAAATGCAACGTTATGACTTTTTATAGGGGCACTCCTACGTTTGTTAGTTATTCTCTTCAAAATACACCACTCGACCGTATATATTCAATTAACGATTTAGGTGTTCTTCTCGACCCAAAACTTAAATTTGATTGCCACATAATGGCCACTTTCAATAAAGCTATGAGTGTTTTTGGGTTTATAAAGCGTTGGTCAAAGGAATTTGATGACCCTTATACAACCAGATTATTATTTACCTCCCTTGTCTGTCCTTATTTGGAATATTGTTCTTCAGTTTGGAGTCCACAATATCAAGTGCACATCGACCGTATTGAGTCGGTGCAAAAAAAATTTCTTCTTTTTGCCCTTCGTAGTTTGAACTGGGATCAAAACGTAAGGCTACCTTCCTACCAGAGTAGATTACTATTGCTTAATTTACCTACACTTGAAAACCGTAGAATAATGCTTGGTACTATTTTTATGCAAAATCTTATAAGAGGTGATATTGATTCCGTAGAACTGGTAAACCGTTTAACTTTTAATGTTCCCGTTAGACTAACACGAAATTATTACCCTCTTAATTTGCCTCGATGTACATCAAATTTTACTCTGCATGAGCCTTTTCGTGTTCTATGTAAAAATTATAACAATCTTTATCATTTAATTTGCACTTCAACATCTATCCCCGTATTAAAAACTAAAATTTTATCTCATTTGCTTCAATCTTAGTTGTAGTATTTGTAGTATTTGGTTTCATGTCTTTTCCTCGCGAACTCGCATTTTTGCCCTAATTGATAAAGGGTCCCGCGCGTAACAAGCACGTGCTTGGTATCGTTGGGCCACTTGTTTGTACTGCTCGTAGTGCATCAACGTCCATCATATATAAAGTTAATGAATTGCAATCAGTCACAATTTTGAACCTAATTCCTTGCAAATAAACTCGAAATCTTTTTAATGCGTTTATTCTCGCTAAAGTTTCCAACTCGAAGCTGTGGTATCTTGACTCCACGTCGGTTGTTCGTTTCGAAAAATAAAAGACGGGATGAAACTTGTTATCCCTTTTTCTTTGTAATAATATTTCGCCATAACCTAACGAGCTTGCATCACAGTGCAACTCTGTCTCATCTCTCGGATCATATATTGCCAAAATTGGAGCTTCTATTAACTTTTTCTTAAGTATAGTGAACGCATCTACTTCT